GACTGCCTTCGAGCACGTGGAGGACGTGGAGGCCCAGGATGCAGCCGGTGCGTGCGCGCGCCATCCCCGGGGAAATATAGCGAGCAGACACGAACGGCCCGCACCCCACCCCGCCCCACGTACCTCAACCGCCGTCCCAACCGTTGGTGCCCCCCAGTCCTTTCTTTTCTTTTCCGCCGCCGTCGGCACCCCCAGTGTCCCCGCCATCGCAGCCCCTTGTGCCCCCGGCGCCCACTGTCATACCGCGCCCACCCCTGTCAACAAGCACCTCAGTACCCACAGCCCCCGCAGCCCCAACAGCCTCCGCAGCCCCGACAGTCTCCACGGTGCCTACAATACCGCCTCCATCCCAGCCCCTTGTGCCGCCCTTCGCGCCCTTCCCGACAACGACGCCGTCCCCGCCCGTCGGCCCGGCCCTGCCGTCGGGCCCTCCCTTCCCTCCCCCTCCCCCCGTTCCATCCATACCCCCTTTCCCGCCGCTCCCCACCTTCCCGCTGGCACCCCCCGTGACGTTTCCCGCGAGCGCCCCCGCAACGCCCTCCGTGCACCCCTCTCCAGCGTCCCAGCCACCAGCGTCGGCCGAGTCATCGACACCTGCCGTGCCTCCTCCATATCAGCCACTGGTGCCCCCGTGGCCGCCGTCGCCACAGCACCCTCCTTTCCCCATACCTTTCCCCCCCTTGCCCTCCATCCCCCCTATTCCCCCCATCCCCTCGGTCTCTTTCCCTTCGTTCACAGGGCCGCCTTTCACGCCATCTTCATCTGCGACTTTAACGACTCAGCTGTCCGTCGCGCCGTCGCCACCCTCTACCTCACAGCTGCCGTCCGCGCCCCCCGCGCTCACAGTACCACCCCAAACTCAACCTCTTGTGCCCCCCTTCCCTCCCCTGCTGCCCCACACACAAATGCCCGCGCAAACCCCCCAGCCACCACTGCCGCCCGCGCCCTCCTCCCCACAACACTCGGCACCCCCAGGACTATTCCCGACGATGCCGCCACCCCCTCCCCCCTCACAACCCTTGGTGCCTCCCCACCTTCCGCAGCCACCAGCCTCCCCTCCGACAGCGGGTCCAAACACTGCAACCCCTTCCAGCCCGCAGCCGGGAGTGTCTTCGCCTCCATCGTCGGCAAGTTTGATCACTTACCCCCCGTATCCGTCATTCCCCAACATGGCCACGTTCCCCAATATCCCAACCTTGCCTACCATCCCCAACCTGCCGTACTTCTTGACGGGCCCGTCCTCAACTCTCTCTGCTGGCGCCACCGGGCCCTACGGAAAGACCTTCCCTACCCTGCCCACTTTTGCTCCCTTCTCTGATGCTGATGCAATGCCTCACTCGAGTCTGTCTCCTTCGTACCCCGCTTGGCCCTACTGTCCCCCCTGCGTGTGTGCCTGCCAAGTGTCTAAAGACCTCTAAGGTGTGTTGGGAGGGGTCTCTAGTCGTCAATTCTATTTTACTCTTCTCTTTTGTTTAACTCTAAAATCGGAAAAACTTTGATAGCAGGAAGCACCGATTGAGAGTGCAAGTACCGCTCCGACAACCATATGCGACTGTCCAGACGGGCCAAATTGTGACCTCCAGCTCTATGAAGGTATAAATCATTACGAATTAACAAATCATACGTTATCGTCCTTTTAACTGTCATGGATCGATGTTAGTGTTATTCATTGCCTATGATGGTACTCGAGACTGTGATACAAGTACAACCATAATCTAATCTAATGATACTCAAAACCAAAACATAATATAGTTTTAAGGGCGCACTTGTTTAGAGTACGTCAATATGTCGTCACTGCTTCGATACGGGGATAGATACATAATTGAATCAGAGACATTCTGTTGAAAGGTTATGCAAACCACTATCGGTTAATTTGTCAGACTTAGTACTCTTTTTTTTTTTTTTAAAGGAATAAACAAATCACATTTACGCTTAATGGCTAGCTTTCAATGCCAGGAGCAATTGTGAACTTATTCTCCAGTAATCTTTTAGAATTCTTTTCGACCCTGTTTCGTTCTTCAGATTACTCTGAGGCCGACCGCGAGTCTTGCCGCAACGGGACCTTAGCGCCAGCCCCTCCTGCTAAGCCCACTAGCCATCCGGCTGGAGCTGCGACCAGCTTGCGCCCGGAGACCAACGCCACTCCCAGCCCATCCCACACTACCGGCCAACCCTACACTATCCCTCGCACTAGCTCTGGGACCAACCTTACGACCCACTCAAGCTTTCCAAACTCCATTGGAACAATTGGTTCATCAGTTAGTCCTCGGACCACCCACAGTATCGTTAACACACCCTTCTTCTCAGGGACCCACAGCACCTTAGTTATATCGAGCGATCCCGTAACTTTAAGTAGTGTACCGACTACGCCAAGTTTACTTAGCACCTCCAGCGTGAATGAGCCCTCCAGGCCATCCAGTACTTTCGATACGCCCGTCATTCCGGGGTCTTTGACTACACCGCCGAATATTTTTACTACTTTATCGTATCCCCCCTCTTCCAGTCTTGACAGTCCCCCCGCCGACACTGCTAGTTCAACCAGCCCCTCTATTGTTATCATTCAGTCGACGAGTTCACTCGACGGCTCTACTAGTGGTGACACCTTTAGTTCTACAGGTGACATTAATACTTACACACCGAGCACTGCCAGAACTAATATCATTCAGCAGTCGACTGACAGCGTCACTACTTCGAGTACCAACTTCGTCACATCCGGTAGTTCTGACAGTTCCATAAAAGTTAATGAATCAAGCAGTCCAGTTGGTGGGGAAACAAGTAACTTCGACTCAACGAAGCCTTACAGCACGCTTCCAGACACAGTGGCTTCTGATGTGCCAGTATCTCGCCCAAACACCTTCGCAACGAAATCATCGACCAGACCTCTTATCGACAACCCTTTTATGACATCATTAGCGTGGGTCAGCTCCACGTTGCCTGACAGTGCATCAGACATGGTCGATGAGGGGACGACCGAGTCATCGCTGACGTCACAAAAAATAGAAGACGGCAAAACAAGCTTTGGGACTGCTGACGGTCTGTCGACACTACCACCAACTAGCACGCTGCTGTCGTCCTTTGGTAGTACCTCAATCGTACTTCCTGACCTGACCACAAAGCTTACAACTCAAGATGATGGGTCTGCCACGGACTCGACTATGCCCATCGATCCGACTACAGTTATCCCAATGCCTACAAGCGTCGATACTGCGTTCACTTCGCTCACAACTGTCACCGTCAATCCGCCCACCATGTTTACCAACACGGACGTAACCACGGGCGTTACCACAGACGTAACCACGGGCCGTCCCACGGGCGCTACCACAGCCATTACCCCGGGAGCTACCACGGACGCTACCACGAGTGCAACCACTGGCATGGCCACGGGTGCCACCACGCATGCTACCACAGGTACTTCCACGGGGGTTACCACGGGAGGTGGCACGGCCGCTACCTCAAACTTCCCGCCTGACAGGCCGACTAGTACAACTGCTCACTCAATAACCACGTCATCAGAAATTACATCGTCAACGAGATGGCCAAGCAAGTCGACACTCGTGGTCACCACTTTGTCCACCTTGTCAACCACAAGGCGGAAACGCCCGACGGACGACGACAACACCGACTGGCCTCAGATTTTGACGGAGGCAACCTGGTGGCCCGATGAAGAGGATTACGACTAGATATTTGTACTTTCGATCTAAAAGTATCAATTTAAAAGTTCAACCTGCCTTATGATTGTATTTAAACGAGGGGACAACCACAACGACTTTAGACGTTACACAGGATGACATGATGAATGGGTTGTATTACTGGGAGAACAAATGGTTGCAAAGATTATCTTGTGCAATTGTTTTGTACTATTTTACAAAATCGTCACGGAATCCACCGATTACTTATGAATTACAGTCGGATTTGTACTCAGAATTAATCAGATGGTGTGAAGGCCCTCTCGTCCTCTCGTGTTTGAAAAATAGTGTATTGAAAATGTCTATATGATTAAGTACGGAAAGTAAATTATTGGTTAACGTCTGGGCGTGAGATGTCACAATGGGCCCGTAAAGAAAACACCAGCTGGAAGGAAAGTGTTGTTTTATATGAGCTGATCGTTGTAGGCACAAGAGCAATACTTGGTCCTGGCTGAATCGGCTGCTACGGCTCTATGAACACTGAGTCTCCATTTATGACAAATTAACCCCCATTATGCCGGAACTCAGATTTTGAGATTCCTCTGGTTTATCGCTTTCCTGGACATGATAAATTTTAATCGCAAAACAACCATGCAATGAAAACTTAAAGGGGAAGTTATCACAAAATAATGTGACAACTTTTTATCGCAAGTTTTAGTGATAATGTAAGTACTAGCTTCTTATACGCTAATGCAATAAAAAGTTATCGCATTATTTTTGTGATAACTTTTACTCAGTTATTGCAAACTTTTGTGACGAAAGTATCATACGAGCAGATTCAGTGAATTGAAGACGGCTGGGGTATATGATATATGGCCACTCTGTACTTTTGAGTCCAAATTTATAAGAAGGACATTTTTGTAATAAACACATTATATCGCAATGTAACATTTATATAAAGTGTATAATGTCGAAAATGAATCCCTACACGCATTTAGAAGGTATATCTCATACTCCTCCAGACCACATTACACTCTGAACACAATTTAAAATGAGGTGAATACAAATGCACACAAAAAAAGCAATTTTACCCATTTCTTTTTGCATATTCTATACGAGTTACTGAGGAGAAGGAGATTGAAACTGGATACATATAAGCAGATAGCTCAAAATTGCACCACAAGCCTGTAATTAAAGGATTTCTATTTATAAAACTCATTTTAGTTCTTCCTAAATTTTGTTGTTAAAATAACAGTCATTGCAATCTGTACCTTGATAAGAAGAGTGTTTTCAATGCTTATAAATCCCATCAATCGAATCTGGACTGGTCTCTGGGACAGGTGCATAGCAAATACAGTGAGCTGTAAAAAAATTACTATATTTATCATGTAAATTTTAATCGAATAAGTAAGTCGGCCAGTCGATCATCCAGGAAGAACATCTGTCATTCGCCGTATTACAAACCTCCTTAGACCTGTAAGGTCAAGCGCCTAGTTGGTAGGCCGCATCTTGCCTGCCATGCATGCGTGTACTGCGGGTTGGCCTACCCTGAGTCCTGCAGGCGCTGGCCTCCCGTAATTTGCCGAATGAATATGAAAAACGGACGTACTTTCCAGACGATCCCTTGTTCTGAATGCTTACCTCCTCTATTTCTGCCGCTGTAACACCATCAGCGTTCTGGCACTCATGGACGACATCCAAGGTTAGGTTACCCTGCATGAGAAATTTATATGGTTTGAGTCGGGAATAATTATTCACTACAGAACGCTCAATGATTTTCATTCACTGTCCAGACGGACATTCCACTGTAGTAACATTAGTAGGTTAACATGTTCTGACATTTTCTCCAGTTGCACTGATAAACTAAGTGGCCATCTGCTTAACACTTGCAAGTATGTGCAAACTGCAAGTTGAATACGTGCAATAAGTTTGCAAGTCCGTAGTTGTACACTTCCAATTGTGCAACTCCTCGGTTGAGCACTTCCTTAGATTGAACGCTCACTGTGTAGGAAGTGCTCAACCGATGAGTTGCACACTTGGAAGTGTACAACTACGGACTTGCACACTTGCAAATATACAACTTGCAGTTGCACACTTACAAGTGTTGAGCAGTTGAAACACTTAGTTTATCAGAGTGTTCCGGAACCCAGAATGATGTTTACTTAAATGTAATAATTCATTCAGTTCAGGTGAATTCGGGTAACACCCAGACGTCCGGTATATGCGCATGCCAGCCGCTCTGTCTTGGCCCACCCACCTCCGCGGCGTTGCTTTCACCGGCCTGGATGCTGATGACGGCGCCAACGGTCCTGGACAGACTGCAAAGGAGCCGCGCCGCCCCGTGTATGCGGTTGTCGTGCGGTGTGAACAGCGGTGCACACCCCAGTACGGTCAGCATAACGCACGAAGTGTAGCTGGCCGTTATCTAAGGGAAAACGAGCGTAAAGCACATGTAACCATTAGTGGTAAACCAAATGGTGCTACAAGAGCAACAAACACCTAAGAAACCCCAGTGAGTGTGAGTGTGGCATACGTGTGTAGTGTGTTAATTTATTCGCACACTTTATAGTACAAGTACTTTGCACTGTAGAAAGTTTTCTAGATTTAACAAAAAATAAAAAAGAACACGAAATACTTCGTTTGAAATAATTATTGAAAATATCTCGTATGTGTCAATTTACGAAACTTTTTGAAAAGTTACATCGTAAGGATCAGGAATTCTCGGCTCATAAAATTATAAAAACATAAACACAAAGCAAGTCGTAAAATAACGGTGTCTCGTATTTTGTTAAAAACGAAGTATTCGTAGAAGAAAATTAACCAAGAAAATTTCGTAAAATCACGAAAATTCTTGTTACAGAGTGAAAACCCAAGTGTGTACATGTATGCAGCACCGCCATTAGGGATTTAAACCTACCTGCAGGTGGAAGCAGTGCCACATCCTGTCTTTGAGAGCGGTGATGTCGAGATGCCGGCGGCGCAACGACATCACCAGGTCGTGGCGGGTGCGGCCGAGGGTGGTGACGCGGCAAGGAGTGGCTTCCCCAGGCAGGAACGCGTCGCGGAGCTGGGCGTTGACGGTAGCGTACTGGTGCACCAGGCAGTGCGTGAGAGAGGCGAACAGCGCGCACTCCCAAACCTGTATCGCCACTGAGGTGAGGTAGACGAGCGCCTGCAGCACAGCGAGCGACCAACTGGTCGTCTGGTCTCAGTGGGAGGTCCAAGCGTAGGACCATGGTCACACAAGAAGGGCTCGCTAGTTTATTCATTCACTAGGAATCCTAGATAGAGCGAGGATTCATGCTCGAGAATTTGCTGTAAACTTCGCTCTCTGGAGAGCGAGGTTTGATTTTCTCGCTCGATTAGAGCAATAGATTAAGCAATGTCACTCTATTTGAGTGATGATTGTAAACCTCGCTCTTTTTGAGTGAGGATTCATGAAGTTAACCTCTCTTGATTTGAGTGAGATCTAAGAATCATTCACAGTGAGAACGAGGTTTCTAAAATATCACTTAAATGGAACATGGGGAAAAACTCTCGTTTTTTTTTCGGTCAGAAATCTCACTCCAGTATTTGCACTGCCCCCTCCCTTTCCCGACTCCCCCTCGGATGACACTCACATTCCTATTACTACGTGTTTATTATTTACCCATGTGTCCGCACAGTGAGGAAAGTCACCATCATCGTTGAGATAGCTATAGACACGTAGAGAAACAGGATCGTGGCGACGCCTTGGACTGGTTCACCGGGACAGGGAGCGGTATAATATTGTCCCTTGAGAGCGGTCAAGAGGTTCGGCAGATCCCGATGCTGGCGACAAACGACGAGGATGACGGTGACAGTGTCAATGACGCAGATGGTTGGTATCGCAAACTGGATAGTCCACCGAGCGGTCCCCACGACGATCCGAGAAGATACTGGAACATTGAATCTTGTGCTGATTCATCCAGCTCTTTATACCACCGAAGTTATGCGGTACAGTCCAACTACGAATGTGGGTGGAACAAAAGCAGCCACCTTGGTTAATTCTATCGAAGTAGTTTGGTCGTGCAGGATGTGGAAGTAAAAACTGGACAGCCGTAAGCATTATTTTTCAGCAAATAATT